AATCGACACTATACACACCTAACTAGCGACTTCACAAACGAACCGGCCACAACCGTGATACACACTATATATAACCCCACACAAACACAAACAAGGCACCCGAAGGCCTACAACGTCGAGCGAGTACACAAAAGGGGAAAACAAACGTGCCATAGGAACTCCACAATATTACCGGAGGAAGGCACCACCGAGAAACCGCCGTGAACCGCCGTGAAAGTCACCGGAAAGAGGAGAGCAATGGGTTGAGAGAGAGAGAGAGAGGGGAAGGCCAAAGAGTAGTGCGTAGAGAGAGTGTGAGATTAGAGAGTATGAATATAATGACTCTCTCTCTATATATATATATACATGCCAATGGAGATGGACGGCCCAGATCAAGATCTGTAATCAACGGTCCAGATCAGCCCTCGCAAAAAAGACGCGGATCCTAGGCGGGTCACGGAGCGGGTCACGGGCAAGGGGTGCAGCACAGGTAAGAGTCAGCAACGGATGTGGTTGTAGTGTGGGTTGTGTATCACAAGCCAGGCCTGATTCAATCGGGCTGCTTAATTATTGGTGTGCAGTGTATTGGGGTGGATCCGAAAGACAAAAAATCCAACATTAATAATTGTTAAAATTAATATATATTTTTATAGTTTGTTGTGGATTTTTGTGATTAAATTTTATAACGATAAACATAGTTATTCTATAATATTAATAAATAAATAATAAAATATATCATTTGATAGTTTTAAGTTATGTAATTCTAATATTAATTTACAAAAATATAAAAGTTATAAGTTTAGCATCCTGACATAAATTTAAAGTAAATATTAATATTTATTATTAAAAATATATATATTTTTCTTTCTATTGTCCCACAACATAAGTACTCATTCATATTTTTATAATAAATTTATCTTTAACATACTAACAAATATAATTCAATGTAATTAATACTCATTTATTTCTTTCTTCTAAATAAATAAATACTCCCTTCGTCCCAAAAAGAAGTATTCATTTGCTTTTTCTATGTAATTTTAAAAATATTAATATTATATTGAGATATAGTATGAATAAAGTAAAAATGACTAAAATAACCTTGTTAGTATGTGTGATATAAATGTAATGACATTTGTGTAATATATTGTAAGTTGTAAGGGTATTTGTAATGTTAGGTAGATAGTACAGTTACTGAAAAAGAAAATGGATACTTTCTTATAGGACCGACTAAAATGGAAAAATGGATACTTTGTTATGGGATGGAGAGAGTATTATTATCTATTTTCAAAATTCTTCATTTTTTTTATAAAAATAATTTAAGTTAATTATAAATAAATAAATATATTTTTTATTTTTTTATTATATAAAATTTTATTATTTACAAAATGATATTAATACTATACATATTATGAAGATAATGTAACGCTAAAAATATTTAAATATATATTCTAAATTTTTTTTAATCATATATTAATTCTTATTTTTTTAAAAAAGCAACAATATTATTTATATAAAAAATAATATTTTCTTCGTCCCGGATCACATGACCCCTTTGGTGAGGGACACCGTTATTTAGGTAGTATAAATTAGTAAATTATTAATAATAAATTATGATATTATTTTATTATTTTTTATATAAGTAGTATTGTTGACATTTTAAATATTTTTAGTATTATATGTCAATAAATAAAAAATAAATTTATTTATTTATAATTAACTTAAAAGACTAATTTTTATAAAGAATGAGAGTTTTAAATATATATATAAATATTTTTTTTATTAAAGACATATAAAAATAAATGAGTTTTGAGTGAGTTCTAAGAGCTTAAAATTTTAATGAAATTGATTTACATTTGTCAAATATATTTAATATGAATAAATTTATTAAAAATAGAAATGAATCATCTTTTATAAGATCGAAAAAAAAAAAAAAGAAAGTAACATGTGGCGGGAAAAGTAAAATATTACTATAATTTAGTATTAATAACTTATTAATCCACACTCATTAAAATATTGTGCCTAACTAAAGGGATAATCTTACGGGGGAATAGAAGGAGTACTAATTAGAGTAGTCAACCAAATTATTGAAAATGAAATATATTCAATACTTTATAAAAGAACTTATGTGATACTATTTTATTTTTCTTAAAACATCAATAAAAAGTTTTTTCATATCAATAATTTTTTTTAAAAAAAAATATTTTTAATTTTATTTATCGGCTATGAATTATAATAATATACAGTCTTCACATTTACAAAATTAAGATATTTTTCACTATAATTAATATTGTCAATAAATATTACTCCCTCCGTTCCAAACATCCTTGCAACATTTTCTTTTTGGTATGTCCCAAGCACTGTGCAAATTTCTAAAATAAAAAATAATTAATTATACTTAATCTCCATCCTACAATTTATCCCATAACATCATCCAAATAAAAAATATATATATATATTTATTTCTCTCTCCATTACATAACTTAATTTTTAAATTATCCTACTTAATACTACTCACCTAAAAACCCGTGTAAAAAACAAATGTTGCACCTTGTTTGAGACGGAGGGAGTAGTATATTATTCTATATATCATATTTTTTTGTTAATAATAAACTTTTAGAGAAAAAAAATGAATTTATATATTATGATTATTGTCATTATAATAATAATAATCAACCAAATTTATGATTATTTTTTTTTATTCTGAACAAATTGATAAGTTTAAAATAAGTAAAAAATATTATGAAAAAATATTCGATAAAAAAGGAATTATTTAATTTTCTATTGTTTTCGGGTAATGCCGACTCAATATCGTGCATCCATTTGTTGTCCTCATTTGGCCATTGGAGTACGCAAGTTACCCTTTACAAACTTTTAGGGTTAGTTTTTTGGTTTCGATTTTTAAATAGTAAAAAGTTGAATTTGAACGGTTATTTAACGTGATACAAATAGAGGTTGATATGATGCTTATGATGTTTTGAATGTAAAATAAATTTGTAGCATAATATAAAAAAAAAAATAATTGTTTGATTTGATATTTTTGGAGAGAAAAAATAATTTGAATAGTAAAAACTTTTAGTAAAACCACAAAAGAACACAACCTTAATGTTTATCACATGCAAGTTTAGAGAATCAAACATATTTGAAGAGAATGTAACGAAGTTGTTTTCTTTTTTGGCTAATCAAGCTTGTAGCTTTTGTTTATCTTGTACTCCCTCCGTCCATAAATTAATGTCTTATTTTTTTATTTGGGACGTTGAACAATTATTGTCTTATTTCATTTTTTAAACACAAATTTTACATTTTTATTCTTCATTCATTTATTACTTTTAATCTCTACCATACAATTAAAGACAAATTTGTCAATTCATTAAAAAAAACAATTACCTAAAAAACTATGCTAATATACTTTAGAACAATAGAAATTGGACTACGGGAGTATTTCTTTGAAGCACTTTGAATTCTTGGCCCAATTAGAGCTAGTGTGTTGTTTTTTTTTTTTTTAGTAGAAAATTCGAGTCTTGCTATCATTTATTTGATTAGACATTGTTGTGATTTTTATTTAGATTTTCGGCCATTTTTATTATTTTTAATGGTGTTTGTTGGATTGTTTAGTTGATTTGTACATATTTTAGTTGTTGTTGTGGGGCCTTTTGTTAAATTAGCTTTTGATTGTACATTTTTCTTTTCATGTTCTATATGGATTGGAGTCATATCAAAATTTTCACTTTGACTGTGTTTTTTTGTTCCTATAGCCTTTAGTTTTCGACTCAATAAACATATCTTTATATAAAAAAAATATAACATATATAATTTGATATATTCTTCTTTCAGCACAATAACACAATAAACGGAGTATATAATACAACACAACAGATAATCCACACACCAAATGTTGATACAATATATATCATAGTATATTATATAATTTTATATAGCATAATATATGCTGATTTTAGTACAATATATGACTCATATATTTTTATATATATATATATAAATTGTTTTAAGTTAGTGTGTTATATTGATTAAATCAATTCTAATTTGACCAAGTCAGCATCCTATACGTATGTGTATATGTGAATCAATTTTGTTTTCTAATCACTAACCACCCTGAAAAAATGTAGATATTTGTGTTTGTGTGAAAAAAATTATTTGAATCACATAATAGTTATTGTTGAAATCAATATTTTCAATCCGAAACAACAATTACTCTTACTCCCCATCATAATTCTTTTTATCTATTAAACTTATGCATAATCAATTTATACTAAAATAATTTATTCACTTACAATTTTATTATTTTTATTTTAACAAATAGTAGCCAAATTGCTACATTTTTTTTTATTTTATTTACCCAACTATAACTTTTAGCAATTATTTTTTTTTATTTTTTTATTTTATAATATCCTTATTTTATTTTTTTTACTTATCCTACTTTTATAAGAAAATACTACTTCCTCCATCCCGCGTTGGATGTCTGAGTCACTGTAGACACGAGAATTTAAGATAAATATAATTAGTAGATAGTTAAAAATGTATTAGTGAAAATAATTATCCTATAATATAAATAATTATATATTAAGGATAAGATAACTAATTAGTTTAATTAAAATTAAAAAAAAATTAAATTAAAAAATTTAAAATGAGATTAAAGGATTTTTAGTGACATGGGATGTGAGACGGATATAAATGACAATGTGAATGTGATAGGTGGGACGGAGGGAGTATTATTGTAGAGTTTCATATTCAACAGAACGCAATCGGATGAAGCACTTTACAATTATTATATTATAGCAATTATTTTAAAAGAATGAGTTTATTTACATTTCAAATCTAACATTTGGTTGTTGGGGTTGATTTGAAGTACATTGATTTCAAATGACGATCTTATATTCATAAAAGTAGGGTAAATAAAAAATAAAGTGAAAAAATTCTAAAAATATTTTAAAGTATTATCTGTTTTTTAAGTATTATCTGTATAAAAAAAAAAAAAGAAAAGAAAAACACAATGGTGGTCTATATATATAAGTAGGGCCAGTAGATGTATTGTCATAAGCATATGCCTTGATTAACATGGAGTTTCTTGATACATTATCAAATGGAAAGAAACAAATGATGGACAAATTGGGCACTAAAATCATGACTGTTAATGAACAAGTAAGTAATTCATTGTTCAAGAAAACCCTTTTCTTGGAAACTCTTGATGCAATCATCAAACATTTTTTCCAATGACTTCATGGGAGGTAGTCCTAGGTTTACAATCTTGCTGCAATCCATGTTATGTGGATTGTCATCTCCTTTCTGATTGCCACACCTGCAACAACACTTGAAACTTCATAATACATCTAAAAATAGTTTCCGATCTTGTCCAAGAATGACAAAATTATTTATAATTCACTTACAAATTTAAAAACTGTATAAGACTTGTGTTTTCGAAAATATTCCACAAAAAATCACTCTTTAGAGAATTGTGTAATGTTTTCCGGAACACGAGCGAGCCTCAAGCATTTCTAGGGAATTCTATGCTATATCTTATAAAATACGAAGAAAAATTTTGCAAATTTTTGAAACCACAAGTAAATCATAAGCAATTTTATATTAAAGAATAAGTATTGAGGGCCATAGTCGTTGCAACTCACTCGGTTTCATAAGGATAAGACGGGTATTTGGCTTTCAACATCGCAATGATTTCCGACCAATGTGCCACTGAATTCGAACATATAAGCCTCCCCGAAGCTCTAGTGTCTTCCATTGCCAAAATGTGTGCATTTACCACATCATCTATGTGCACAAATCCGATTGTCGTGTTTGGATACCCTCCTCTTAGGCCTAACTAGCAAGTATTAGCCGAACCCGATTAAAATTTAGAGCTGAATTCGAACTAATTCTAACTAACATTTGATCTAACCAACCTTTAACAATAGCCAAGATAAGAAGAAGTGTGCTTGTTGGTTGAGGTGCAAGTAAAGGCCCAACAACAAATGAAGGATTCACCACAACAAGATCAAACCCACTTTCCTCAGCTAATTTCCAAGCTTCTTTTTCTGCCATGGTTTTTGCATAAGCATACCAAAGCTGCATACAACATTCAAGAAAAAAAATGAGACACATACACTCACCGATTTTTCATCGCGACGATAATATCGCATACCATTTAGTAAAAAATTCCATTATAACTCCCATGGTTTAGTAATATATTACTATTCGCTCATCTATTTTAAAATCTATCTGTATTTTGTAAAACCGTATATATATAACCTCATATCCATTAAAATTTTATGAATAATATTCTTTCGTTCCTTAATAAATTATTCGTTTTTCCATTTTGATCCGTCCCATGACAAAGTATTCATTTCATTTTTTAGTAACTATACTATCTACCTAACATTACAAATACCCTTCTAATTTACAATATAATTACACAAATGGGGTCTTTTTTTTTTCCGTTATTTCTACTATGTCTCAATATAATATCTCAATATAATAGCAATATTTTTAAAATTCTGTGTAAAAAACAAATAAATAGATAGATATGGAACAAAGAGAACATGTTTCAAATACTATAATAGCAACCAAGATCGCTTATTTGATTAAACCAAATTCCCGCCATTTTTGTTGTAGTCGCAGCTTATGAAATATATTTGAAATTATATTTTATGAAAAATATAAAATTCTCAGCCTAAAAAAATTTGTTAACTAGAAAAAAAAAAAAATATATATATATATAGTTTTAAATATAGTGGAATTTATCCTTACGTTGAAATGTTTGCAGTATTCTGGATCACTCCAGTGGGATTCATTGAGAGAGGAGACTTTCCCAACATCATATCTATATCGAACTGCAGAGCAAGAAGATGTGAGCACAACCCTTTTAACACTGCTGGCTTTCTTGCACGATTTCAGCACATTCAGTGCTCCATTTATCGTCGGATCAATCAAATTCTCCTGCAAAACAATCACATGAATGTGTATATATATATATATATGTGAACACCATCATCAGTGATCTGTAATTACTCGTAGATTGAAAATAGTTAACAGTATGTGCTTAATTACTATAATTTTGAAGAGATTTTTTTTTTATTATTATTTTAATTTCAAATCACAGTCCACACTATTACTTCTTCGTGATTTTTCAATAAAAATACATTACTACTCGTAAAAAAATCACGCTAAAATACTATTTAAACTAAATATCAAATCGGAACTCCAATTTTAAACCACAATCAAACAAATTGTCAAGCATTGCCAATCTTTCTTTTTGATTTCATCTATTTTCTATACGGCCCAATGTGTTAAAGTCATCGTTTTGCCATGCACAATGTTTTTCTCTTTTTATTTTTAGGCTATACGTGATCAATTAGCTAGGCTTCAACTTTGCATTTTACTATTTTTCGGACATCTTTTAAAATTTTACAAATTTTCTTAATTTGGGTTTCTGATATCCTTTACAATTTTCGACACTAAATTATAGATACCTAGTTCTTTTTTGTTTTGTAAGTGGTTTTAGTTGAATAAAAAAAGATTCAATCTTTGATCGACAATTAGGGCTACCTCGATCCATGCCTAGGCTTCACTCAAGATCCATCTATGTGTATATGATTTTTTATAAATTAAATTAAATCTAAATTGCACCAAATCCACCTGTGATTTCATGAAATCAAACTCCCTCGTGGTTTCATAAATTCTGTGTCTAACCCCTCGGCGGTCTTTATATAACATATTTGATTTAAATGCGTCTCAATTTCTAAACCCCTAAAATTACAAATATATTTATTTTTTTATATATAACATAAAAAAATAGTAAATATACTAAAAAAATAGTTATTTTTCTCCCATTTTAAAAGTTTTTTTTAGCTAAATATAAGAAAAATAAATTCCTTTGTAATTTTAGGGGTTTCGAAATTGAGATTTGAAAATTTATTCGCAGTTTAGGCACATTTAAGTCAAATACCGTTAAATAAAGACCGTCGAAGAGTTAGACGTAGAGTTTATGAAACCACGAGGGAGTTTGATGCAGAAGTATAAGGTATTTGGCGTACTTTCATGAAATCACTGGTAGATTTGGTGCAATCTAACCATTATAAAATGAAAAGTAATCAGAGGTTCTTGGCTTAGCTTGCCTTGACGTTGCCTTCTGGGACAAGGACTGGGGATGCTGTGTGGAACACTCCATGGACTCCATCAACAGCCTCTTCGAAACTCCCTTCCTCCATTAAATCAGCTTTCAGAATCTTCAGCCTCTCCCTGGCCCCATTCAACTCCCACAGAAAACCCACTTTTTCCTCATTTTCTGGAGTAAGAAATAATTCATCATCCAAATTATGTAATTAAGGTATCACGACGACCTCGAACTGATAGAACAAGAACTGGAATTAGCTAGCTAGGTACCTGGATTTCGAACAGTTGTCCTCACAGTGTGACCCTTTTCCAAGAGGGACTTGATGAGGTATGCTGCAATGAATCCTGTGCCTCCAGTCACGCAATACTCAGGCATCTTTATCTGGTTTATCAATATAGGTACCCTTTTCTCTGCAATTTATACATATATAGATATATGTGGATTTAGGTCTCAAAGATTTGGGTGTTTAGATCGTCTTTCTATGATGAAATTAATTTGATGTAGAGCTCGTTGTTAGGTATAGGTTTGGTGGTCATGATTAAAGAATGGGCTCATTTGTTCCAACCAAGAATATGAAGTATTATTTTTTGGATAAGATATATACAAAAGTTGTTGACTCATTTAGATATGCCTTTGCTGGTCCTTTATCCCAAACAAAGTAATATATATATGTTTTGGTCTGGATTGATTTTGGTTTGATATTGGTCAAATGTTATTTATCTGTTCAATTATTCCTTTCTTTCTTTATTTTTTTTTATTTATATTATCAATGAAAAATATATTTGCTTTTATATACAATATTCTATATAAACATAGTATTATAAGCAACGTAGATGATATATCGTCAATATTGTGGACGCCATGCTACGGAACAAATATTTAAAGAATATTATTATACATGCAGTGTTAATTTGTATTAATTTTCTCCTATAAATAGACATGTAATGCAATGAAAAATGCACTCCTCCACTCATTCTCTCTCGTCTGCCTTCTTCTGTCTATTTACATTGCTATATATAAATATACTATACATACATATACATAAATATATATTAATAAATAATATACATATATATCATATATTATCACACGTAGCATACAAACCTCACACGTACATATAATATATTTATATTATATTATATTTATATATACAATATATAAAATAGTAGTTAGCGGTAGAGATAATTAATATTTTTATTGGCTAATCCTATACTAATATTACTAACACATAACATTTTATTCAATTATCATATCAAATCATGTTAGTGCATTTCGTTTCAGCTTTTTATTATTTTAGACTTCAGGTTTCCAAAGAAAAAATTAGTTTGTTTGTTTTCCATTTCAACAGCAAATATAAATACTATTAAGTTTATTACGTGCTCATAAAAATATTATTTTTTCTTATAAAATATCATAAAAAATATCATTATTTAAATAAAAAATTCCAATAATAAACTCAATTTTTTTAAAAAAAAAACTAAAAAAACAAAAGCTATTTTCCTATGATGAGTGCGCTCTGATACTATGTCGGATGCAGAATGACCGTCTCACCTATATGCTCAAACTGTTAAGAAAACACAGCCATTAATTATATATCTGCAAACGGAAGTCCCAACAATAATTCTTTCTTGCATAACGATTTACTGAAGAGGTGCTTATGTAGCTTCTTCCTGGGTTTCGTTCTTCATAGCCTAGAATGTTGTTATTGGTGTCTAGGCTTCGCAAATCTGTGTATGTTTTCCGCCAAACACCTAGATGTTGGTTTGCCAAACTCACCAGTGCATTGAAGCATTATATGTGGCTTCATTAAGTCATTAACATATTATTCTCTATTTACTTACACTTGTCGGTCTCGTGTGTTCTGATCTACGTTGATGATCTGGTGATTGGTAGGAATAACTTTGATTTGATTAAGAAATTTAAGTTCTCTCGGCGTTCTTGTTTTTGTACGAAGGATCATGGACTTCTCAAGTACTTCAGTTGCATTGAGGTTGTTGACAATAAAAAAAGATTAATTTTGTGTCAAATAAGTATACATTTGATATTTTGAGCGAAGCAGATTTATTGAGATGTCGTCCAACTCCATCCTCTATGGAGCCATCTCACAAGTTGGGTCTTGTTCAAAGAAAGTTGATGCACGATCCTTCCTAATATCGCGCTTGGTGGGTCGACTTATTTATTTAACCTTGGTTGTGTCTTGCTTTTCTACCGAGGCTGAGTACGACTCTATGGCCATGAATGTTTGTGACTTGAAGTGGTTGCGTGTTTTGTTTTATAGTTTGGGTGTCACTCACTCTTCTCCTACGCAAATTTTTTGCAACAATCCATCCGCCATTCATATTACCATTAATCCAATGTTCACAACGCAAAAAATACATTATAATTGATTATGACTTTGGGTGTGATGAGTTATAGAAAAGAGTCATTGCTACTTACTTTGTTCTCTTTATAGTTCAAGTAGTAGATCTTTTCACTAAGGCCCTTGGCGATTTGACTTTTAACTCACTTTTGTCCTAGTTAAGCGTTTGTAACCTTCACACTCTACCTTGATGGGAGTATTTCAATATGTAATCAAGCCTATCATTGTGTAGATAAATTAGGCGACAATTAGAGAGTTTATTGGAATAATTTATTTCATTGATTATGTGGGTGAATTGCATATACAACCTTCGTGTTTTAATAAAATTTCATGAAATCCTCTATGTTAAAAAAATCATATAAAAACACCTTATATTACAAATATATTACAGACGCTCTATATTTTCTAACGAGGTTAATTTATTTTGAAAATGACCATTATGCTCTTTTGTTTATAAAATCATTAATATTTTTTTATTAAATACTATAATGAAATTTTTATCAAATACCCAAAATAATCTCAAGTTCATATTCGATTAGGGTTTCGATCCTCCTTTCTCCCGCTCAATGTGCTGATGCAAATAGGGTTTTCGATCTTATTTCTTATTATTATTCTCACAGTTTCTGGTGATCTTTGTTCCGGTTGTCGTCGGCGGTGGAGAATTTTTGAAGGTATGAAGATGTAGTGGCGAATTGCTATTATTATTATTTTTTTCTTTCGGACATTATTTTTTTCTCATTACCATAGATACTTTGGATAAATATTGAAGCATCCTTTTCAGGTTGGCAAACTATCAAATGTCATTTTTTGGATAAATATTTAGGTTTGGAGGTTTTGTTTGTGATTTGTTTAATTTTTATTTTTTTTGTGACATCCGTTTGGGAGGAGGACTGTGTTTCAAAGTTGTTTAATTGTGGTGGAATTTGGTAAATATCTTTTTTTGTTGGGGTATGTTCTACTTTTGTTTGTTGTGTCGTGTAGAGACCATATGGAACATTCTCTTATTGTATTCTTGTAAGTGGACGGCTACTTAATTTGGGATCTCTTGAAAAGTATAGAGAGGGAAGAAAAGTTAGGTTTAAGGGCGTCGATAGGGATAAATTTAATTATTAGACTTTAGTAGATTTATATGTGATGTCTGGTGTGGTGGGAACCAATCTAGAGTTTTTTTACGGTTTTCTGGGTAAAAAATTTGAGGGTAAGAAAATGTATATTAGAACAAATTCCGATGTTGTAAATAACCTATGATTGTATAAGAATGAATTGGTCATTCAACTATTGGTCACCGAATTGGGAGGCCCTACAAAGAACTTGGATAATGAAGGTCAAGACTTAAATTGTGAGAGAGAAATTGTATTTATCCTGGAACGACACAATTGCATACTGTGAGATTGAGGAAGCACAAAGAGCATAATGAATAGATAAGGAAGGATGCAGTGTAGAATTAGATCACTTAACTTGATTCTAATGTAAGGAGACATAGTGATGCAGGTCCTAATTTGGTTCGTTGTATGGGAGAATTGTGATACAATTAGAGGTTTTGGAACCTATGGTGATAGGTGTAATGATGCTCAAAGTTCCAAGGCTTCTACCAGTGAGGAAACGGTTGTTGCTCGTTCTGGAATGGCAAGTAGCGATGGAGGAATTGGAAACTTCGATGAGAGGCTGCATGGTAGAGATGATAAGCTTTCCATTGATAAGGATGAAAGGTTTGCTTTGGGTGGTGATGATGGTGGGGTGGTTAGATTTGGAGGATTGGCCACAACTGATGAGCGATTCTGAGGATCCATCTTGGATGTATGATGATTTTGATGGTCCGTAAGATGATAATATTTTTGCTGAGAAGTCAGAGAATGATGAATATAGAATGAAAAAGTTGTTGAAGGAGTTGAGTGTATTAAGAAAGAAAAGAAAAAAGAGAAAGGTGTTGTCGATAATATATGTGTAGAAGATAAGGTGAGTAGAAATGAGAGGGAACAATATTCTATTTGGTATGACGATAATGCATAAAAAAGTGAGGATGTTTTGGAAGTTCCTTTATTATCTGAAGAAGAAGAAACTAGACTAAAATATAAGGACTGAGATGAAAGCCTGAATATGGCTGCCACAAATTTGGAAGTTGGCACGCAATTTCCATCAAGACAAAAATTCAAAGATGCATTAAAGGGTCTGGCAGTTCGCTAAAACTAGCACTTGATGTACCCAAAGAAGGAAAATCATGCGGTAAGTGCTACTAGCAAGAAAAGTTGTGAATGATATATTTGGGAATCAACAATCACGAGAGATACTCATACGACAACAAACTCACAAGCATATTACCGGTATGCATTTTAGTATTCATGTGTTATTCTATCTACTTTTGTGTTAGTAATGGTATTGTAATGGTGTTATGGATGTTATAATGTTGTTTTGACAGCTATACTCCCTCCGTCCTATATATATATATATATTTGTTTATTTTTTGCACGGGTTTTAGGAATATTAGTATTATATGGGATATAGTAAAAATAAAGGTAAAAAGACTAAACTAACCTTATTAGTATTGTATGATATAAATGTAATGACATTTGTGTAATATATTATAAATTGAAAGGGTATTTGTAATGTTAAGTATATAGTACAGTTACTAAAAAATGTAATAGATACTTTATTATGAGACAGATCAAAATGATAAAATGGATAGATTGTTAAGGGACGGATGGAGTATTATTTTTGTGCATTTATGTGTTAATTCTAAGGTAGTATTTGTTACGTCAGTCTTATTCCTAGTGGCAGTATGGGTTTAAATCAATTTGTTGGATATTAGTATTAGGTCATTGGGGAGGGAAAATGCACATATTCTCCTAGAATTAAATTGAATTAAATGTGATGAAGCTATAATTACTTTCCACACACACATACACACACAAAAAAAAAAAAAAAAAGAAAATTGAATCAACATAAAGTTCATAACAACACAATAATTTCAAGCACCAAATATAAGAACAATGTAGTGATTCAATCTCCGAATACACAAAATATTATCTCTAAATGCAATATTGAAAAACATAACCTACTTACACATTACCATAAATGCAAAAATAGAAATAACAAAACGCTATATTCACATTTTTTTTTCCAAACGCTTCATGTTCAACTCTCTTATTCTAGTAATATTGTCCATTTCAGCCTTCTCTATGGCTCCATAACCTGCATTGATACTTGTTTCGGGTT